CAAAGGTTCTGCACTAAAACCCTCATACAGTTTTCTTTATCTCTGATAATTTATCTATGTCATTGCATGGACAGGGGTGTTAATCGAATTGGATCTTTCGAGTTTTGGTATGTTTAGGCTCGTATCAAGTTTAATTATTGAGTTCATCATGTTTTTATTCAACTTCGGATTAGTTTTTAGATCATATGTCTATGTTTGACTCAATTTCACTTGTTTTTGTTGTACTACAAATTTGATTCGTGCACAAACTCGAACTCAATAGTAAAATACAAAGTAATTAGCCAAAGGGTGATAGTTGTTTTTATTTGTTTCCACCACGGAAAAATGATATATTTTATTATAAATTAAATCGAGTCCAAGTTACAAAGCTAAGCAACACATTGCTTAGCTTGAATGTTTTTTTTTCCAGAAACAGGGAAATTTTATGGCTTGTTCTCAGCGAGTAGATGCGTGCTTATGTCGCTCAGACTCGTAACTCTGTGTAGAATCACTCACATCAGAAATTTGAATACGATTCGTTCAAACAACTTAGGTCTTGTCCTACCAAACAAGCATGCTTTTGCGCCTAGGAGACTTCGAACCCTTGACTTCCCACTAGGAAGCCAGTTGGTTAGCTTGAATGTTAAATGAGTTTTAAAATATTATTAATATTTTATTTATTTTCTACGAGTTTAATAAAGTTAATCTTGAGTCGAGCCTAATTAGTACTCCCAAACAAAGTACAACATTCTTAGCCTAACTAGTAGTCCCAAACAATAGTACAACATTTTTACTTCAACTAACAAAGTGCTCTCATATACTAGGGTGGATTGGCCCACCAAATGCTCCTCCGCCGATGCCCCCTTCCATGATCAAATGAGTTAGACGACTGCAGAGATGTTGCCGTAGGCTCCAGCACCAGCGGAAGTTTCCTCCTATATGAATTTATATTGTAATTTGTCTGATGGATGAACTCCATATCTCATTTCTAGAGGTTATTGGAGCATCTCTTTTATAATTAAATGGTGTGAAATTACTTATAAGATTAAATAAATTATTCTAAGCTTAATAAAACATGGTAAACAGTTTTAAGTCGGAAATTTCGTTTCTAAATGATTAAAATAGTTTTGTTCTCAATGAGATCATAATGAATCAGTGATTGAATTAAAATTTCAATATTTTGAGGTGTTTCAGAATATTTCGACGTGTTGACCAAAAAAAAAAGAATATTTCTACATGCACTGAAATGAAATTTTGGTCCTTAGTCATTTATTTAAAGAAATTTTTTCTTATAATTCTGAATTTTTTTCTTTTTTTGATTTTGTTTTTGTTTCATGTTTTTATATGAATACCACACCCATCTAGTATAACCACTCTATTTTAATTTTTTTTTTCAACAATTCGACTAAGGATGAGACTATTCTCATCCCACAAATTTTCATTCTCAACCTATTTAATTTGTTATTATCAAACTATTAAGTACACCCCCCTTTATACACACTTCATGAGGGAGTTATGTTCACCTCTTTAATGAAATAAGTCATCGTAAGAAAAAGATAATGAAAAAAAATAATTAGTTTAAATGCATAAATATATTTAAGAAACAAGTAAAACTTAAACAATAAAAAAAAACACCCAAGAACGAAATAAGTAAAAAAAAAAACGAAACAAGAAAAAAAAAAGTAGAACAAAAGAATAAAAACGAAACAAAAAAAAATCAGAAAGAAAGAAGCAAACTTAAATAAGAAGGAAAAAAAAATCAAGCACAAATTAAAAGAACAAGTAAATCTATAAGATGCAAAACCACAAGATGTAAAACCAAATATGAAAAAAAAAAAAATAGTATCAAGTACAGACACAAAATCGAACAAGAAAAAAAAACAACATAGATACAAAATCTAAACAAAATAAAAAAGAAAAAATAATCTAAAAACATACACACACACACACATATATATACACACACACACACACTCTCTTATAAATTCTAAATAAAAAATTATTAAACTTGAAAATAATAAAATTCTGTATAACAAGCATGAAATCAAACATAAAATTAAAATTAAATTGAGAAGTAACTACCATGTATTTCACCTAAAAAATTATATTGAAAAAAGTATTTTTGTGAGTGTATAAGATGAGATGAAGAACAAAACCCTAATTATGACAAAATATAAAAAAAATTTACTTACTAAAAGGGGTGTATATAACATGAAATAGACTTAATTATAAATGAAGTAGGTATAAAAAGAGTGATTTTAGTAGTTTGATAATAAAAATTAAATGAGATAAAAATAAAGATTTGTGGGGTGAGAATAAATAGTTTCATTTTTCGACTAATTCTCTTTTTAATCCGGTGAAAAACAAACTTTCTAGGTAAGAGATTAGAGCCGCGCCTAGGCCTAGGCTACTTAAGTGAATGCGTGGGCCCCAATCTTGTTAAAAAATTAGGGCTCCTAAATTATTGGCTGAATGTATAAAGCCCAAAGTCAGTTCTGAAGCTCGTTTGAAGATAGAATAGGCCACTCGCATTGGTAGGCCTCGTATATTATCTTTCTTTGCTTTAGTAGTTGACCCGTTATATACAAATAAAAGACTTATCCCAATAAATATCTTACGCCTGCAACACCGATTTTCAGTTTGATAGGAAGAATGAAAATTAAAAAGATAATAAATAAAAAGTTAAAAAGAATATATTTTTTCTCATTATGTTTGGTATGATGGATGAAAAATTGAAGGGATGCATTCTTTTTTTTTGGTATTAAATGGAAAATTAGATGGAAAGGAAAAATATATATTCTAAATTTACCATTATACCCTCACATCTAATTACATGAATAAGATTAAAGAAAATAAATCAAAATGCATGATTTTTTTTATAAGTATATAATATTTAAACCCGCTAAAGTTTATATGTATATAATATTTAGACATGTTTTAAGTTTAAAATATTATACTTAGATCAAAAATACTCCAATCAAATATGAAATATTAAATATTTCAAATTTTACAACTAAAATTCATGTTCTATTGTATCATATATTGAAATAAAATCAAAAATAAAATTTACTTATAAAGATATTCTTCATTTAATTATTTAATGTGTATCTAACTAGAAATTATATGTATTTTTTTTCATTATGTGCATTTAATTATTAAATCTTCCATTACATATACAAAAACAAACTTAATAAGTTAAATTCTAATTATATTATGTGGTAAATACTAAAAATTATATAATTAAAGAGAGTGGTGGGTAAAATAGTCAATTCACAAAAAACTCATCTTTCCTTTATTTTTCGCCCATTTTTTTTGGGAGGGGGGAGGGGAAATGTTTGGTGGGCTCAAGGGAAATCATTTCCCTTCCATTTTCTATTCCTCCCATTTTACCTCTATACCAAACAAAGGAAAGATTTTCTTTCCCTCCTATTTTTCTTCCTCCATTTTTTATCCTCTCTATTTTCCATCCAACCAAACGGGGGTAAAATGTTTCTCTTTGATAGTTCTCATGGAGTCATGGCCTGTCTTTCTCTGATAGTTGTCCCTCTGTGTTGAATACCAAAGCCCTCTTCTAAGTTCTTAGCTTAACAACTTACCCTTGTTGGCATTGTCTCTCTCTCTCTCTCTCTCTCTCTCTCTCTCTCTCTCACACACACACACACACACACAAGCAAGCGCACTTCCTAAAACTTTTGTATATAATCAATAAAGCCAAAGAATTATCATGTTCGGTTTTTCTAATTTTATGGTTTGTTGTACTAGTTAGTCTTGCCAACAAATGGTTTGTTATTCATTTAACATGGAAAAATGCTACTTTGACAAAAAAATATTGACAACAATTATTGACTCATAATATCACCGTCATTAATTTAAGTGAGTTCCAACATTTATTGAAATTCACTATTTATTTAATGATTGTGATGGAAGGAGTCAGCAAAATGTGTCATGAATGATAGCCTCCAATATTTCATCCCAATATTAACTTATTTAGTTTCTTTTTTTTAGAAATTTAAGATGGTGTCAATTTAAAATAATTTATGGATTTTCCTATTTTCAATGCTGTTTGTTTAAATTTCCTCTTTGTTTTTTTGTGAAAAAAATGTGTGCTTTATTATTTTAATTACCATTTATTATTGTGTATTAATATTTTTTGTTGGTAAGCTAATATTAATATGTTAATTATTAATGGGGTCTCATACGACCATTTTTGCCTAAGGCACCTAACTACATCCCCCCCCCCCTCTTCTCAAGTAAATGCACGGTTATACCATATCGACCATATCGATTGAGTATCACCAATCAATACTAAAACACCAAATAGGTAATGTAAATCCACTTTGGTAGTTATTTGTTTACATGGAAGAATGATATGTAATTATTTACTTATTTAGAGAGTTGATTATTAATTTTTGTGGATTCTATTTATTTATTTGTTTTGATACTATTAGTTAATTACAAAATTTTTGATACATTAAGAGTTTAATAAGAAAATTTTAATTTTAAAAAATATAAAGTAAAAAACTTGAAATTTTTTAGGGTATAAAATAAAATTCTCCCTAATATTTTTCTTATTGTATCCAAATTTTGGAAACGATATCACAACACTTTCGTTTGTTCAATATTGGCGGGCGGCTCATTCAAAACAAGTAAAATTAATAAAAAAATTATATTTTGACCCTTTTATTTACGGATTCAGTTTTATTTTATCCCTTACACCTCTTATCCTTACCCTTTTTCAAGCCTACTAAATTTAAATTAAGATAAAAAATTCTTAAAAATCTTCACTAATACTAGACTCAACACAAACACAAACAATCACATAGTTCCAAATAATCACTTTTTTTTTTTGGATGGAAATTACAAATGTATTGGGTCAAAAAAAAAAATCACATAGTTCTAAGAATAAAAATAATTTTTTTTTTTTTTTGTCAATGTGGAAAAGAGTCATAATTAAGAGATTTAAGTAGAATTTGCTTAAATTTCTTCGATGGTTTGAGGAAAGATGTATAACGTGTTTGACGGTATTGACAAAGGCAAAATTCGAGGAAAGTTTACAACAAGCACTGGTCAAGTCTTTTAGAAAACGAAGTCTATTTCGTTACCAAACCACCCCCTTTCTTCCTTCTCTTTCTCTCTCTTACACACACACCAAAAACTGTTACAAAACGAGAGAGGGTGAGAGAGAAGGAGATCCATACCACAATGTCTGACATCGTCAAGGAAGCTTGGAAAAAGTATCTGCTAGCGCTGCAAATTCACCCCCTCAGAACTAAGGTTTCTTTTACACAAAACCCATATGAATTAATCTGATTATATCCTTTTTTAGGTTTAATGGAGTTATATGTGTCGATATACACAAACCCATATGAATTATTCACATACACTTTGTTTTGTTTAGGCAGTTACCTCTGGGGTTCTGATTGGATGTAGTGACATAATTGCTCAAAAGATCTCTGGGATCAAAAAGCTTCAATTGAGAAGATTACTTCTTTTAATGGTATTAATTTTATTTAATTAAATAATCCATGTATTTTTTCTTTATTTTGGGTGGATTTTATTAGTGTTTGATAAGTTTTTTCTGACCTTATGATCATTTAAATTGCTTTCCAGCTCTTTGGCTTTGCCTATTCGGGACCGTTTGGCCACTTCCTTCACAAATTAATGGACATCATTTTTAAAGGAAAGAAGGGCAACAAAGCTGTTGCAAAGAAGGTAAACTTTGCAATAAATTTTGTATTTTTCAGTTCTTCATGTTTTCAATTGTGTCGCGGAAATAGCCTCTCTACAGCAGGGTAAGGCTGAGTACATCTAACACCCCTTTCGTACGCCCATGTTTGTATTTGTGTCCTAGGCAGGGCAATTCTTAGCATGATCCACTAACTTGACACATAATCAATACAAAAATATCATTTATGAGTTCAGTCTTAACTAGTTATAGAAGGTTAATTGGCTGGTCCCACTTAATAGATGGATCAACACAAATCTACTCGTACACGAGATGAACCGTTTTATACACAAGTTATACACGATAAGAGCCGGACTATATTATTCTTACTTATACACAGCATGAGCCCAACTACACATGCCTTATTCGCAATATGAGGCCAAATATACAGAGTCGAATATGGATCGAGTCATTTTTTACCCGACACGAAACACGATCCCTTATAAGCCTAGTATGTGGACACACCCACACACGCATAGTCAATTCAATATGTTCTTCAACTTCCTAACATGGGTTTTTACATTACACAAACTTTTGTAGGACAATTATTGGTGTCTGTAATTTCATTGAGTTAAATAAATTACTTTGTTTATTCTGTTCTAGGTTCTGTTGGAACAATTAACTTCTTCTCCCTGGAACAACTTGTTCTTCATGATGTATTATGGTTTGGTGGTTGAAGGTATGCATATCAATTTACCCATTTGGCAATTTCTTAGGACTTTCAATGACCTAAACTGTCTCTGTAGAGCTTGCATTTGTTGAATCTACATAGGGTTGCGTCATTGTATATTTTATTTAACACCTTTTTTAGTTGAACATACCTTGTAGGGACATAGGATTTGGCTTTTCTCAATGTCTCATCCTAGAGCCTTTCTAGGTAGACGGACGGCTTTGCTGTTGTTGGAGCAGTTGATTCTTTTTTCTTTCTTCCTTTTGTTTCGTACGTTTTTTTATTTTTTAAAATCTACCATCACTGCTCATAACCCGAAAAAAATTGAAGAAACATGGACCGATGTTATACTTTCTTGGGAGCTGTTATGTGATTCATATCCTTGCTTAACAGGGGTGGCAGAGTCTGTAATTTAGGGGGTTTTCTCTGGGACCAACTCCCATTTAATGCAAAGTCCCCCCCCCAAAAAAAATAAAAAATAAAAAATAAAAAATAAAAAATCCAATCACCCTGGATGATGGCCTTTACCTTCCAATTGCAGAAGAAAGTGTGCCCTGTTTTCTTCTTCTAAATCTCTCTGCATTTGGGAGCACCTGACTTCTGATTTTGTGTTTGCCATTTGCATAACTACCAGCCAAAAAGTCAGTCAAGATGTGATCTCGATTTGCAAGTGCTGGAAGAAGCATGTGTTTTTTTTTTTGTTTGCGGTTCTACTAGAGAGTTCATATATAATACTTTTGTTTCCTTGTACTTTGTCACACAAGTATTTTTTCACAAATTGCGTTTCATTTTTGTCATATGTTCATTAGGCATACAGATCCCCCGTTGCCATTTTCTTGTCTGATGATCTGGCAAATCCCTCCTTTCAAAAAAAGAAGAAAACAAAGGATCTGTCATTACCTGATAGATTCTATTGTTGTTTGAAAAATGCTTATGCCAAAAAATGTTGCGGAGAGTAAGCAATTTTTTTATTGGAAAATGCATTTTTTGTTTTACACGGTCAATTTTATCAGTTATGAATGGTGGCTAGCTTCCAAAAGAAAGAATCATGGCTAACCTCTGGCTTTGCAGGAAGACCGTGGGGTTTAGTCAAGAATAAAGTCCGAAAAGACTACCCCTCTATACAGTTGACTGCATGGAAGGTATGTCGTTATTCTCTATTTTCAGTTATATTTTCATGTCGTGATGCAAAATGACAGTAGTAAGCAAAACATGCTACTATTGTTTTTGCAGTTTTGGCCCATAGTTGGATGGATCAACTACCAGTATATGCCTTTACAGTTTCGTGTCTTATTCCACAGTCTTGCTGCTTCATGCTGGTGTGCACTCTTTATCCTTTATCTTTGTTCTCTTGCTTCTGCCTTTCATTTTTTTGCTAGTGGCTTCTACCTTCAATTTCCGTTACTGTCATTCTTTCTAAATGCTTAATCTTGTATTCAACATTTATAGTGGAGTAAGGGTTAAAGCTACGGTTACGAGTATAAGATAGTGGTTTATTATAGTTAGTGTTGTCAAAGCTAAGCTCTTGTGTGACTAGGCATTACAAATGCGTGATCCTGTTACCAAGGCGCTTTGCTAAGTAATGTTGATGTAGATCATTTGATTTGATATGGTTCCCAACTTCAACGAATAGTATAATACTGGAAACTTCTGGAAAAGATGAGTACTTAGTTACAGAAATGTCATTGGACATTCTCTAGTTTGTGAACTATTTTGACTTTCAAACCTCTATCCTACTGCCATGTCAAAGAAAGTAAGGAACTCATTCTTTATATGCTATTCTAAGGTACATTCCTTCTCAATCAATTCCAATATACTCCCTCCGTTCCTAAATATCTGTCGTTTTACACAATTTTTTTTGTTCCATAATATCTGTTGTTTTATGAAACCAAAGTATAATAAATATTTTTTCTTTCAAATTTACCCTTACCTCTGCTTTTCAATAAGTGGTTAATAGATTAAGTATAAGTTAAGTGTCTTTCATATTTTTTTCCTTCCCAATACGTATTGATTAAGGGTATTTTAGTCTCGTGTAATTATTTTTTACTCATATTAGAGCTATTTAATAACTTCCTTAATCTTTGTGCAAACGACAGATATTTAGGAACGGAGGGAGTAGCATAAATCTAGGAATCAGAGTTACGCATGCATCTAACTAGGGGATATTCCCTGAGTGCACTCGTAAGTGTCGGGTTAGCAATAGTGAGGTAAAGGGTTCGACTCTGCGGGCAGCTAGTTGTGCAAATGATGTAAGCAATTAGGTTTTCACTAAGCCCTTAGACAAAGAGGTAGGACTATATGTTGTCTTTTTCTCAACAATCAACATGCCTCCTTTGAATTTTTCCCACCTTCCTTGTATTTTTTCATGATTTTTACTCATTTATTTCTATTTTTTGGAATTTTGTTTTAAATGAAGATATTGTTTGATAATTCTTCCCAAGTATTTTGTAATTTTTCTTGTTTTTTAAGTAATTTTTAATTGGGATTTGTATTGAAGTACTTGTGCGGGTTTACTCCATTCTTCCAAACTTGATCGCATGTATAGTAGTACACTTGTTCACATATATAACAAAATTATTTATTTACTCATGCAGATGGGTCACTTTTGCAAAACATTCATTTGTTTTTTTGACAAACTAGCTTTTCATTTTAAGAAAAAGTACTTCAAAAACCAAATGGTGCATGAGGTTTAACTGTAGAGTTTGTCTGTCTAAATACTCTAAACATTCAGAAGACCATAAAAAAAAAACAGTTGTTAACAAGAAACCTATATGATGTGGAGTGATCATCTTCCTCGTGATTTCCAAGGATTTCAATTGGGCTCATTGCATGGATGCTTGTTTTCTTTTGGTTTTCTTTTCCTTTCTGGTATGTTTCTGCTGAACTCTGTTAATCTAAAGATATTCACACATCAGCTTGCATGGTTTCAACTCCGTTCCAATATTCTGATAAAAAAAAAAAACTCTGTTCCAATACACTCAGACAAACACTCTTTTGTAAATATACGAGACTCGTGCATAATCCCATTAGATTTTATATATAATAAATACATAAAAGTACCCTTCATTGGATGCATGGTTTGATATATAAGAGTAAATGAGCAGTCAACCTTGAAAAAGAATCACCTTAAAGATCCTCCAGGCTGTACCTAGGTTGAGTTTACCAACATAACGTTGAAGAATTGGTTTGTCTATTTATAACTTATATGTGCATTAGGACTCTAGAATCAAAATTTCTTTTTCGAAATGCCATTTTAGAAAAGAAAGCAAGTGTTTGAGTTACTCAAGTACGGTCCTAATTCACAGGGATGCGATACTCTCAATTCTTTGTAACGCTAAAAATTGCGTTATGTAGGATGTTTATTTCTTGAACTCGTTTATTTAGTTGGAAATGCATGCGAATATCCTATAGCTGAATTATCGGTTGTTACTAATATACTCTCTCTTTGTTTTTTGACTTCAGGGCAATCTTTATCAATTTGAAAGCAAGATCCATTGCAACTAAGAAGGCTTAGAAAGGAGGAGACCATGTTTTTTTTTTCACTTCTTTTTTTTGTCTTGGTTCGACCTTATTTATCAAGATCAGTCTGCATCTTTCGGTAGTTATATATTTCTGCCTGTAGTATGCAAAATTATCAATGTTTCATATGTATCGTCGGTCAAATTTAATCGAATTTATACTTGTGGAGTGGTTTATCCTAGAAATCCTGATTGGCTGATCTTATGTACAGAACTTTAGGCCCTCTATTTTCATTTGTTCCATTTGCAGGGAAATTTTGGGTTGAAGAAGCTTGAAAACTCTAATGGCTTGCTAAAAATATGGACTGTGTATAAAACCCAACCATGGAGGTTTGTTGCTCAAAATGGTTGCCTTTAGAGTCGAATCTATAGCTTCGCAGTTGTACGAGGCAAACCCGTGGATAAAGATACTCTGCAATACTCAAAGTTGTTATTGATTGTGTAACTGTTATATTTGAAATAGTATTTTTTTTCTTTTAGTAGGTAATTTAAAATTAAAGTGGACATAGAAAAAATAAAAGAGAGATAAGACTAGAGAAGAGTGAGGTAAGTGTAGATTAATAGAGTTGGGAAAATGAGTTTTGCTCCTCTAGGAGCTAGGTGCTCCTGTAGTTCACGAGAAGAAAAAAGGACTCATCCTTTGTTGCATCCAACACGAGATGATACAGAGAGAGTTTTGTCTATCGATGAACAGAGGATTGATAGAGTTTTTGGCATTGCGTTATTTTGCTCTTTTTTCTTATTAGCGAGTTCCTACCTTTTTATTTGAAATTTTTTCATTCGTACCGAATTACTTGCAGAATCAAATTCTGTTTCACAAGATCTTAGATCAGCTATACATCTAACATTGAGAAGTCTATTGATTGTACTTTCATAAACTGGGAATTCAAACTCTTTGCTGTAATAGTTTGAATGCGAAAAAAAATCTTATTCAGGTCACGGAGAATTTATATACTTCATGGGCTTTAATAGTAGTACAAGATTGTCACTTTGGTGAAAAAGTCATCAATTTTGACATCTGAAATATATAGAAAGGAAAAAATAAAACAATTTTAAAACTCCAAGAGTTATATTGACACATTTAAAGTACAAGAGAAATTCGTTAATGATTATTTATGTTTTGAAATTGAATTATATACAGACGACTTGCAAATTCTTTGATTTATGAGATCCAATTAAAAATTTGTAAATCACTTGTTTATGACACATCCATAAATAATTTAATCTCTTAAATTTTTTGACGTATTATGTGTGTTGTGACTTTATGCATTATTATCAAAAAAATAATAATAATTCAATTGTGACACCCCAAAATTCAGGTGTCCGTAATTATCTCGTTGATCACCCATCAATCTGCAGAATACTCCTGGTTATCGTGAATTTGATACCATGTTGTTATGCCCCATTTATCAGGATACATAAGTCAACAAAATTTGAGCGAAATCTCTTTTATACGAGGAGTTATACCCAAAATACAACATGTACAACATTCACCACACCGGGTCCATTCATTTATACTCAATTGTAAGTATCAGATACTACCATAATCATCATCATTACGTATATTCATTCATAAAAGAATAAATGTCTCAAAAGAATCTCATATACATGCTTTTTTAATATAAAAGAAGTTTTTGTTTACAAAAATTATATAAGGCCAAAAGTAAACATATACAAGAGACTGCAAAGTCAAAATAAGAGCCACGGATCGACTTTTTCGTCAAAGCGGGATCATGGCCTCGCCTTTGGTGGACGCCTGCGCGATATCTAAAAAATGTTCCCATAAAGGGTGAATCAATGCTCAATAGAGGAACTCCTATAGAAAATACCTCTCAACTCAAATACATTTGAAATGTCACATTCAACAATTATTTCATGATTTCATTCAAATATGTCAATTACGAACAAATGTCATAAATCATATCGTGTCATGAGATGAGACTCACGCAAGCAATACCAACATTGAGCCTCATCCTGAACTCCCACAACACATGCAATACCATGCGTATGTCTCCGAGCATTCCAAGCCCCCCGTCATTGGTGTTATATACACTCAATGACTAATTAATTCATTTTCTTGTATCTTTGTGGAGAGATAATTTATGATATTACACCAATGAGACACCAACCATCAACGAATTTTCAGAACATCCCACCTACAGTCCGTTTTTGCCGTTACATTTTTATGTAATTGCACTGCCAAAAAGTGTATAAACCAAGTAAGCGGGTCATGCATCCAAGNCATCCCACCTACAGTCCGTTTTTGCCGTTACATTTTTATGTAATTGCACTGCCAAAAAGTGTATAAACCAAGTAAGCGGGTCATGCATCCAAGGGAGAATCTAGCCCTACTTGTTATCCCCGACACGTTTATTCATTTAATTTTTCGTGCGACTCGGCCGAACCTTAGTGCGACTTTTTCGAGTTCACAATCAACCACCTATTTGGTGATTGATTTTATACCATGCACATACTGTTACTCATGTCAATGCCTATGAATGTAGTGCAACTCATGCATAATGCAATATAACGTGCAATTATCTTTGGTACCATTTACAATGTCCATTACATAATGAATACAATATAATGATATTTTTAACACAATCTCAAACATGTTATGTAAGATAATTAACTCAACAACATACTTGTATTCACCTAGACATTTAAACAACACCTAGAAAGCACAATTAATTTACACAACCAGTATGTTTATTACTTCCAACATGACAACATGTTTATTAATTCTATAAACATAAGTATAAGTCTACCACACCAATCATATGCTAAATAATCATTTAACATACATATTATTTCATAATTACATAACAAGCTAATAATTTTATTAAACTTGATATGCCATTAAAAGTTCAAGTCATGCTAATATACAATTAACATACTTTTAACCCACTAACATTAACTTACATCAAGTTAATTATAATAGGATTTTACTAATTATAAGATTAATTATAAATCTTATATTTGACCCACTAGTTATACTAATCAAAACCTAACATGTGATATACACCCTTGGCCTACCCGTTTCATGTCATATTTTAGATTGAAATTACATCTAAATAGGACAAACCCTACTTTCTCGTAACGTGAGCCAACGTACTAGAACTCCAAGGAAGTCTAATTTTAGCTTCCCAAGCCTTAGGCCTAGNGTACTAGAACTCCAAGGAAGTCTAATTTTAGCTTCCCAAGCCTTAGGCCTAGATTATCGTTTTTGATATTTTTTTTGGAGAAAAATACACTATTTGATGTGGTTGCGTAGCTCTCGCCGAGTAGAGCAACTTTAATTCTTGGCTCGAAGTAATTAAACGGTTCAATCTTCGTAAATCTGAGAAGGAAGAAAGGAGGTCTAACTTTTTTTTTTCTTTCTCTTTCTCTTTCTCTCCATCTCACCGCCTCTAATGAAGAAAAGTGGAAGACTTTTTGTCTTCCACTTATATATATATATAGTATAAATTCATTTTTTTGTTAAAAATATTTATGTTTTTGACCCATACTTTAACAATTAATTATTATTTTACCCCTTTAATTAGGATTTTTATAATAATAATAATAATAATTTTTTTTTAGGTTTTACATTTTCTCCCCGTTATGGAAATTTCGTCCCCAAAATTATGCCTACATACAAATATAACGACATGCACATCCAAAAAGTCATTTAATACTCTATGGTTATAAGAGATGTACATCCATCCTCAAATAGAAACAGATAGGTAGCTCGGATAGTGTTCTTATGCTCCCATGTCGCCTCTTCCACTCCACGGTGCTGCCACAGCACCTTCACCAGCCTCATAGTCTTGCCACGCAAAATCTACTCTCGGATGTCCATGATATACATCGGTCCCTTCTCGAAGGTCTCATCCACATCAACCACTAGCTCACCCTAATCCACCACGTGTGTAGAATCTAGAGTGTACTTTCAGAGCATAGAAACATGGAACAACGAGCGAATATCAGATAGATTTGACGGTAATGCCAACCGATAAGCGACTGTACCAACCCTCTCGAGTACCTTGAAGGGTCCGATATACCTCAACGATAGTTTTCTCCATTTTTCAAACTTGATCATTCCCCTCTTAGGCATCATATTCAAGAAAACATGACCTTCAACCTCAAACTCTAGAGATCGCCTCCGTCTGTCGGCGTAGCTCTTTTGATGACTCTGAACTATGAGAAGACGTTTCCGTATCAAGTCCACCTTCTCCGAGGTGTCTCTAATCAAATCTAAACCCGTGGAAGGTCTCTTTCCACCCTCCGTCCAACAAATCAGATAACGACACGGCCTCCCATAAAGTGCCTCATAAGATATCATTTGTATACTCGCCTGATAATTGTTGTTGTAGGTGAACTCTACTAATGGTAAATGCTCCTCCCAGCTACCCTTGAGATCAATGACGCATGTCCATAATATATCCTCTAAAGTTTGGATGGTCCTCTTTGACTGATCATTCGTTTGGGAATGAAAAGCGATACTCATCATCAACTGCATTCCCATGGCCTGCTGAAAACTCTCCCAAAAATGGGCAGTGAACCAAGGGTCCATAATCTAATACTATAGATTCGGGCACCCCATGTAATCGGACTATTTCCCATATATACAGCCTACAAGAATCCTCCAGTGTGAAGGTCATTCGTATTGCCAAAAAGTTTGTCGACTTTGTAAGTCGGTCCACTATCACCCACACCGCGTCATACCCTCGCGATGTTCGTGGCAAATGGGTCACAAAATTCACCGTGATGTGCTCCCACTTTCACTCGGTCACCTCCAAAGTTTCGAGCAAACCCTGTTGATCTCTGGTGTTCAATTTTGACTTGCTGACATGTGAGACATCGACTAACAAAATATCTAACGTGCTTCCTTATCCCACTCTAATAGTATTAGCGGTGAAGATCATGAGACATCTTTGTGCCACCTGGATGAACAGCAAAACGGGAGCAATGAAACTCCCTAAGGATCTCCTCTCTTAGATCCGCAGACTAGGGAACTACAACATTTTCCCTTAACCGAAGACTACCATCCGTGTGAATGGCCCAGCCCTCGTCACCTGTATTTGACTGTACCCTATCTCTGATGGACAATATCTCAGTATCCCACCCCCTGGAACTCAATCACCCTGCTTAATAAAGAAGGCGTAGCCACTAGAATCCAAAGTGCCTTGAGTCTAATCCCTGTAGTGTGGCCCGAACTGTTTCACAGTCTCGAGCATCAGCCATTCCTGGGAAGCTATACTGGCCAAGATTCCCCATGAAGTTATGGCTTAATGCATCAGCCACCATATTTGCCTTACCAGGATGGTAATGCAAAGTGAAGTCATAATCCTCTAAGTACTCCATCCATCTGCGCTGCCTCATATTGAGGTCCCGCTACGTAAATATA